AGCCTCCTCACATTTCCAGTTGGATGCTCGCGCTCTCTCTCTCTCTCTCTCTCTCTCTCTCTCTCTCTCTCTCTCTCGCTTGCATTTCAAGCTGTGACTCTCATCTTTCTGATCCTGCTGCTAGGCCCTCTCTGCCATTATTGACTCTAACTCTCTGGAAATATAAGTCAAAATGAGTCAGCTGCTTTGGTCATGGTGGTTTTTTTTTTTTTTTTTTTAACAACAGAGAAGTAATTAATACAGCCTTCCACAGTAAACATGACCGAGGCCCCATGCTCTAGGTGAACATGGACTCCCTTCCCAGACCGGAAGCTCTACCTGCATGGTTGTGGAGGAGATGGCTGGTCCCTGGTGGTGATGCTGAACAGGTATTAGATTGCACCTCCAGCAGAAGCCCCATTTCCAGGCCTTGCACCCATGCTAGCTCAGGCATCCCCAGAGGCCAGAGGAGGCACTGGCCTGGCTTCCATAACCCATACACAGAAGGGTCCCAAAGGAACAGAGGCAGCACCTTCCAGATACTTTCCCAACATCACACCTGGACAAGGGCTGCCTTCAAGCTTGCCTCCCAGCCCTCCAGGCTGCAGACCCCAGCTCTGGATCCCCAGAGTCATATTATCGCCTTCATTCACTTCTGCATCCCTCTGCTTCCACCCCATAATGCTAGAGTCTGTGTCTCTCCAGAAGAATCCAGCAGAAATGCCTGCGCTCAGGAAACAGAGGGCCTTTTGGCCTGTTATTCTGGTTATCTGCGTCAATTACCTTCTCTCGTTAGTGACTGGTCTTCCCACCTCTGTGCAGTGTGCACGTCTGAAGTGGCCTGGTTTACCTGGGATACATGGGGTGTGATGCCCAGGAGCCCCAGAAGCATGCAGGTCCTCCACGTGGTCTTTGTGGAGGGGTGTTTTGTTTACTGCTGTTAAAACACAGGGAGCTTGGGAGCGCTGTGAGAAGGACAGAGGCTGATGGAAACTCTGCTCGGGCCTGGACCTCTGAGGACTGGAATTCATAAACCCTTGATCCTGAGCTGAGACTGCAAACCAGAAACCGGGCCATGATTCCTTCCTTGACCCTTGAGGCCTGGTTCAACCTCCCATTTCTATTCTTCCCCAGTTGGATGCCCCGCTCTGTCCAGCTTGGCCACTATATTTGAAGAGGACAGAGGGACGTCGCTCTGTGCCACAGCTTTGCCAGCCCTCTGGATGTCCTGTGTCAACTGGTGCTCTCCCACCAGCAGGGCACAGCTCCACTCATCTCCAGGGGCTCCTCTCCCCCACCTCCTCCAGCACTTGGTTGGGTTTCCAGTTCACCTTCTGCCCTGGGATCTTGTCCTGGCTCCCTAGCCATACCGTGAACACTCTGGGGATGGGACTTCCTTCTTTGGCTTGGCTCTGCACAGGAAGTCACCCTACGCCCAGACAGGATCCACATGCACCCGATGGCTGGTAAGTTAATTAGACACCATTTACACCACTGGAATTCATATTCTGTTACTTATTTATTTATTTTTTTTTTATTTTTAGAAAAGGTCTGATTATGTAGCCCCTGGCTATTCTGGTGCTCTCTAGTAGCCCTAGCTAGTCTGGAATTCTCTATGTAGCCCTGGCTAGCCTGGAATTCTCTATATAGCCCTGGCTAGCCTGGAATTCTCTGTGTAGCCCTGGCTAGCCTGGAAACCTCTGTGTATCTCTGGCTAGCCTGGAAATCTCTGTGTAGTCCTGGCTAGCCTGGAAATCTCTGTGTAGTCCTGGCTAGCCTGGAAATCTTTGTGTAGCCCTGGCTAGCCTGGAATTCTCTAATGTAGACCTGGCTAGTCTGGAACCCTCTATGTAGACCTGGCCTTGAACTTGGAGGGCTATTGCTGCCTCTGCCTCCCGGGTGCTGGGGTTACAGATCTGCCACATGCTCACTAGCATTCCCTTTTGAAGCCAGGCTAGATGTCTACGCTCTCCTTCCCAGACCACCCACGTGACTCCTCATGCTGTTGAGACTGAAGCGCCCCCAAACCCCCAGACCCATGTAACAAGAAGCTTCCATGGTATGGAGTGCAACTGCCTGTGTCTGATCCCTTTCCCACACAGTCCTGGAAGGGGGCTTTGAAAATCAGATGCAGACAAAGCATTTGGGTTGGCGACCATGGCAGAAGGTTTCCAAACTAACCTTTCTCACTCTCTCTCTCTCTCTCTCTCTCTCTCTCTCTCTCTCTCTCTCTCTCTCTCTCTCTCTCTGCCTTTCTGCCACATTCAGCCAACATTTTAACACACAGGCATCCTGGCCACCTCTCTCCCTAATGGCAGCCTCTCTGCTCTAAAACGAAGCCGGTGAACTTGAACAAATGTCATAATGTCTATGTCATGACTTGCCCCAAAATACAAGGCTCTTAACCAGGAGTGATTTCACCCCAGGCAGCATTTGGCAACATATGGGAACATGCTAATTCCACCAGTGCTGAGGTAGGGAGGACTGTGCTGATGTAGTGAGGACAGTCCAAAGATGCCCACAGACATCCTCACAGATCAGCCCCCCACAAGAAAACATTCTCCAACCCCAAATGTCAGCGGCATCAGGGTTGAACTCTGTCCTGATACGCCTGTGCCAAGTACAACTGGTCTGGCTAGTTTGCGCCCGTGATTTGCTGTCTCCCCCGCCCCCACCCCCGACTCCTCAGCGCCAGGTAACTCTAATAGCACCCAAGGGAAATGGAAAACTGCAGGAGACTTCTCGGCGGGGAGCCAGAAGGTTCCCGGCTCCCACCCTGTGACTGCAAAGGGAAGTCAGGAGGTCTGTGCATTTCGGGAGCCAGCCTGCATGGAGGCCTCCCTTTGAAATCCCCAGCACTCCGTCAATCCTCGGTACAGGAAGGCCCTGGATGAAAGGCTGATGAGAGACGTGTAAAGGGAGCACTTTTGTTTCTAAGCTTATGGAGAAGGGTGGAGAATTTTTTAACGGAGCCAAACCACACACGCCTCTATTGGGGCGTGAAAAACACTCGGACGGGGAACAGCGCGCCTGCCTCCACTTGCCATGCGCGGCGCACACAAGGCCACAGGAGCGAAACGAGAAAGCGTATTTACTTAGTGGAAACTCTCAAATAATGGCCCTGCCTGCCCCAGCAGGTAAGACTTGCGGTTTAATTGCGTTTGGTCTTTTTTTTTTTCCAGCACAGGATATCTCTGTTTGACAGTGTTTGAACAGATGGTGTGCAGGCAGCAAGGTGCTCCCGTTGTTCCCAGCCTCAGCCCAGATCCCAGGGTCCCATTGTTGGCCACCGCATGTGTAGAATGTGCAGGGCTTAAAGATGTCACCTCTGCGCTGTTTATGTGTAACTGCTCTTCCACCGCTTAAAAAGCTTTAGATTTACTTACTTGACGTATAGGAGAGTTTGTTTGCATGGGTGTCTATGCAGCATTTGAGTACAGTGCCCTTGGAGGTCAGAAGAGGGTGTCGGATTCCCTGGAGCTGGAGTGACAGGCAGTTGGGAGCCGCCATGTGGGTGCTGGGAACCAAATCTGGATCCTCTGTCGGGGTAGCACATGCTCTAACCACCGGACTATCTCTCCAGCTCCATCCCACCACTTATTTTAACCTGCATCACCCAAGGCTTCTTTAAATCATCCAGAATGGCAGATTCGCTACGACCTTAAGCTGCAGAAAGGATGCACTAATTGAGCCACAGAACAAAATGTCAGAAGAGAATTCCAGAGTGTGTGGCGGACCCACATTGCTGAGGGTTCCTGTTCTTCTTGGGCATTCTTTACCAGTTAGCGGCTCACTCTTGAGAGCGACACCTGGTGGTCAGGAGCCGCTGCTGCAGCTTCAGAAAGGCTCGGTTGCACCTTACCTGGCCAAACATCTCTCTAGTCCAACACTAAGAGGGTTTTCATTTTTGTTTTTTATTTTGCTTTGTTTTGTTGTTTGTTTTGAACGTTCCAAGCAAATAAGAGCATGTTGGCCATCCAATGTCTGTCTTTGATTAGGGAAAGGACATATTTCCTAGAGGCCCCAGAATATTCCCTCTATACTCTTTGGACCCAAACTAGGTCATGTCGTTACAATCAGCCCAGCGGCTAGCAAAGGAGTCACTAATACCCTCTCAAGACTCTTCTCAAGAGGGTAGGAAAAAGTCTCCTCGAGGCTTGCCCAACCTTCGAATCCGAGGAACCAAAGCCCCTATTTGCAGAAATGCTCATGAGGTAAGTTAGTTTTCCAGTCACTCGGTTCTGACACCTGAGCTAAGTCTTCTGGGTTCTGTCTTGGACACATTAGTCACAAGCGGTAGTCTGGGTGCTGGTAACATAGCCTCTCTTAGAGCTCCCAAGCAGGACACAGAACTTCCAGTGTGAGCAGTGGCTCCAGAGCGCTAGAGCCTATGTCACGGGGCAGCTGACTGGCCAGAGGTACCCGGGATGTCTTCCTAGAGGAAGGGGCCATGAAGCAGAGGCCGCCACAGGGGCAGCACGAGCAGAGGTGAAGGCTTGAGGGAGAGGTAAGAGGAGCGATCCCCGGGGAAGGCTCAGCAGGAAGGGGGTCCTTGGCAGGAAGGGGGTCCTTGGCGGGAAGGGGTCCTTGGGAAGATCCATGCTAACCTGTGGTCAGCCTGCTCAGGTCTCTGGAACTTGGGAAACCCATTTGCCCTTTCGGTTGCAGAGACCATGGCTTTATCTTTAGACAGTGGAAAACTGCTGCAGGCTTATAGGTGACAGAGTAAGATGTGTGTTTTCAAAGTCATTCTGACCTAGGTGGGGATACAATAGCCACTTGCTACTGTGTGCCACTTTATGTCTTTTGGTCGTGGCCAAACAAGGTCACAGGCCTTGCCACCAACCATGGTTACAAAGTTGCCTTGCATTAAATAGTTCTCTTGGAATCCTGGTTACTTCTCCTGAGACGCTCCTATCAAAGAACAGTCCTAGCCCCTTCCAGTCCCTTGGGCTCACTGTCTTGTTATCTAATCACCCCTGTCACTCTTGCTGGGATGCCATTAGCCATGATAGGCAGCCAGTGGGACCACCCGATGCTGGACCTTCAGCCTGCAGAACCGTGAGTTAAATGATCTTTGCTTTCTATATTATCTGGCCTCAGGTACTTTGTGATGGCAATGATAAACATACAAGCATAACCCAAGTTCATGACTCACAAATCAGCAGCTGTAATAAAATGGTGGTGGTTTTGAGCCACAAAATGTCAGTGTGGTTTGTTAGGTAGCAACCACAGATGATAGATAGATAGATAGATAGATAGATAGATAGATAGATAGATAGATAGATAGATAGATAGATAGATAATTGGAACACTACAACCACAATGACTTGTTATTATTCACTTATTAGATTTTAGTTAATATGCAAGATAATGGGTTTCACTATGTCATTTTCAAGTCCACATTCACCTAACAATGTTACTTTAGTGTTTTTTTAAGAAGCCCTCTCCACATGAGCCATTTGCCATGAACTGCCCTTCCGGAAGTTGCAGGAAGACCCATAGGAGCTGTTTCTGTACGGTTTGGCCCTCCGGGAAAATTGTTGGGTTTGAAGAATCTGGCCTTAAGGAATGCCCGAGCTCTGTGTAGAGTAAACACAAACTGCCACAAAGTCAAAGCCAAACCAAATGCCCAATTAACCAGCAGGCTCTCCTTTTGAATAAAATTAATGCAGTTACCTAAATTCTTGGTTTGCCCATGCATACAGCAGAGGTGCCTTGGAGTGTGTGACCTCTGGAATAGACAGCAAGGGGGGACTCACTATGGGCTGTATGCTTCAAATGTCAGAGTGAAGGGAGGCCGTGGGTTGCTTTTAATCAGTATTTATGCAACATACCCCCAAAACTGTGACTTGCGGAGGAAAAAACGTCACCTTCTGTCTTTCAAACACCTTTTACTTGTTATTTCAATAGGAAATGATTCTTTCAGAATTAGCTACATCTGTCAGCCCAACATTCCTGGCTGCCACATAAGTAGCTCTTACAGTATCCCACCTCCTCAATAACTTTCTCTCTAGTTCACCTTCCCTGGATTTTATTTATATTTGACAATTCTCTGGGGTTTCCTGACAGGAAACGTTAGTGAGAGCTGGGATCACGTGGTTTAAACATTCAGCGCTACATAATTTTTCTTTATTAGTGTTTTGAAATCTGAAGACGGCAGTGGATCCACTCCACACCAAAGGCTGTGTCTGCTCTTTAGTGTTTCCAGACCCATCACTAACTGTAAGCCTTAAGGTACTGACTTAATTGCCTCCTTCGTCAGTATGAAGGGTGCTGTGAGCTGGGGAGATGGCTCAGGGGCTAAGTGCTTGGCAAGGACCTGGGTTCAATCCCCAGCGCCCACTTAAAACCCAGCCATAGTGACACACACCTAGACCCTCACCTCTGGGGAGGGAGCAGACAGGAGGGTCCCTAGGGCTTGCTGGCTGGCCAGTCTATCCAAAATAACAAGTTACAGATTAAGTGAGAGACAGTCTCAAAAAACAATGTGGAGAGGGATAAAGGAAGACATAGACATTAGCCCCTGGCTTCCACAGAGTCCTGCACAGACAGACAGACAGACAGACAGACACACACACACACACACACACACACACACACACACCAGACACACACACAGACACGTGTAAGTGTGTATACACACACACACATAAGTTTGTATAAGCATGCACACGTCCATACATGCATGCCTGTTCTGGGGCTGGGGATCCACTATAGTAGAGCATTTGCCCAGCACTGGGCCCTGAGTTCCAACCCGGGACACCAAAGTGCATCTTTGTCACACTGGCCTGGGCTCCAGACGACGTTCTTTGCAAGTCTCCATGGATGCGCTCCTTCTCACAGGCACTGTAATTGGTCAGGGCGAAACTTCCCACTCCCATTACTGGTCATAAGCCCTGATCAGGGGCTGGCATTCCAGCGGTGTGCCTTGGCTGGTACACAAACCTTACCCCTTTCTTCAGTCTGCATTGTGACTGACACACGGCGTCCCCTCCACCTCTGATCTCCGGAGCTCCGTGAGGCTGTCATTCAACAGTGCAGAACCGGATGAGTCTGGCTATCTGTCATTGGAGTTCACCATGAGGCAGGCAAAAGGTTTCCTGACTAGCCTGGAAGCATATTAGAGGAGGCCACCGTCTGGTGGAAGGGGGTCCAATGCAGGGAAGGCTTTATTCTCAAGAGAAGGGGTTTTTACCACGTTGGACTCATCATCCCGCACAGCTGTACCCCTGGGGCTCCCTTATTAGCAAGCTGGCTTTGTGGTTTTCTTCCTTTCTGTGTGCAGGCAGGCACATGTGTTGGGGTCTGGAAGACAGCCTTGGGCGTTTTCCCTCGGGCATCGCCCACCATTTTCTTTACTGGAGGCTGGGTTCCTTGCTGTCCTGGAGCTGACGGAGCAGGCAAGGCTGGCTGGCCAGTGAGCTCCAGGGACCTGGCCGTCTCTGCTCTCTCAGTGCTGGGGTTGTAAGTGTGTGGGGCTGTACTCAGCTTTAGACGAACAAACAAAGATTCATTTTTAATTATGTATATGTGTCTCTGTGTGGGTATGTGCTTGTGAGTACAGGTGCCCACAGAGGTCAAAAGAGGGCATCAGATGCCCTGAGCTAGAGCTGCAGGAAGTTGTGACCCACCTAATCTAGGTACCAGGGCCTGAGCTCAACTCCTCTACAAGAGCAGTGCATGCTCATAACCACTGAGTCACCTCTCCCTTACACGTGAGTTCTGGGGGTCAAATGGGGCCTTGTGCTCGCAAGGAAAGCCCTTGACCAGCAGCAGAGCCTTCTCCCAGGCTGCAGCTTTGGAGTTCTCCATATACCAGCAGATATTGATGGAAATCAGAGAGATAGAAACAGCTCTCTGGAAGCACAGAAAGCCAGAGCTGGGTGAGACATGTGCATCTTACCCTGGCTCTAAAACACACACACACACACACACACACACACACACACACACACACACACACACACACGCAAGTCTCGAAAACACAGTGTTCCTAGGCTCTCTGTTAAACACCCGTGGCAGCCCAGATCCTTCCCAGCAGACTTACTGTGATACTTTCCAGATTTGGCTTTAAGATGTGTATTATTTATTATGGTCTGCCATGTTCCAGGAAGAGTTGGAGGCAGCTAGCTTA